TTGATTAGTAGCCGAGCTCTTAACCACTGCGCCACCAGGGTTCCCAATATTATTGTATAGTCACACTAAATTGCAGACACGTGGATCAACAAATATAAAACACAAATAAAAATAATTCTCAAATACCCTTTCCTTAAAAAATCCTCTTGCTATATCTTTCAAGCTTAGTGAGAAGACTTGTCTTCCAACATTTTGACAAGCTATGAAGTGTTCCACTTACTGACCGATAATACAGTCCTCCCCCTCCCCGCTCCCCGCCCTCCCAGCCCTGTGCAGCTCGTGTGAACCAATCCCTAGCAGAGAAAACCTTCTGATGGTGTTCTTTCAAGGTCCCTGAGTGGCATAAACAGTTTGCACTCGAACACTAACCTAAAGGTTGGTGATTCAAACCTACCCAGCGGTGCCATGGATGAAAGACGTGGCGATTTGCTACCATAAAGATTCCCATTAACCCGTTGCCCTTGTGTCAATTCCGATTCATAGCAACCCTTATATAACAGAGTAGAATTGCCCATAGGGCTTCCGAGGCTGTCATCTTCCCGGAAGCAGACTGTCACATCTTTCTCCCATGGAGTGGCTTGTGGGTTCGAACCACCAACCTTTCGGTTAGCAACCAAGCACTTAACCACTGTGCTACCAGGGCTCCTCCGTAAAGATTATAGCTTCCATAAAAATCAACCCTATCGAGCGGTTCTACTTCTAGCACACGGGGTCACTGTGAAGCGGCTCTACTCTAGCACACGGGGTCACTGGGAATCAGAATTGATTCAAGGGTGACGGGTTTGGTTTTGGATTTTCCGGTGTTCTGTCTCCGTAATAAACTTAACTTTCAACAAATGATAATTTCTATACTGTCTGAGAAACAAGAAAAATCCAGTGGAATGTCGGAAAAAACAAGTTCTGACTCGTTACATGACAGGTTGGTTACTACAAAAAAGCAAGTAACCATCTGAAATGAAACACGTTTTTAGTTTTCACTGTCTTTGGAACACACTCTTTGCTACAACTTCCTGCTGGACACCCTGGCAGTGGGGTGGGAAACATCAGGGTCTCCAGCGCGCGGCTCATGGGCCGGCTGTGCATAGTCCTTGTCTCACTCTGTTCCCCAGTTTACCCAAAGGGAAGGGAGAATGAGTTTTCTCTCTGGCATTTTGCACGAAGACTTCAAGTTGAAGGCTCTGTGCCGGCAGTGAAGCACGACCATTTGCCCTTTCTACACAATCTCCGGTGGGGGCAGTGGGGGATCAGCGGCAGAATTCTCACCTTCCATGCAGGAGACTCGGGTTCAGTTCCTGGCCAATGCACCTCATGCATAGCCACCACCCATCTGTCAGTGGAGGCTTGTGCGGCACTAGGAATCTGAACAGGTTGCAGACTAAGACAGACTAGGAAGAAAGGCCTGGCAATCTGCCTCCAAAAATCAGTCAGTGAAAACCCTATGGATCACAACGGTCCGATCCTCAACCAATCATGGGGATGGTGCAGAACCAGGCAATGTTTCATCCCACTGTGCACGGGGTCACTAGGAGCCAGGGGCAGACTCCAGGGCAGCTAACAACAACGACATACAATCTTAGAGCTGGACGTACATGAGACGTAATTTAAGCTAACTCTTCACTGCACACATGAGGACTGAATCAGAGTTTGTAGCAGATGATGTATAGACAATATGGTATGGGTGGAGACATGCGTGGACCGATGGACAGAGGGATGGACGGACGGATGGGTAAGGGTACAGGATTAGATGTCAAGAGCTCTTCATTCTATTTCTGGCTCCATTGCCAATTAGCTCTTTCAAACCCCAGCAAATCATTTCATCTCTCTGGCAGTTAGGGCTGAAGGCTTGATCAGGTCCCTTCTAGCTCTCATAGTCTTTAATTTCATGCAACAAGGGAACTTCTCACAACTATCTCACTTGTGATGCCAGCGCCATTTTGCCAGCATCACCCAGAAATCATGGTACCATAACGACAGAAAGGAGGTATTGTAAATCCATAATAGTGGCTATGAGCCGAGTTTCACTAAAAGGAAGAAGTTCCCACCTTGAATCAAGATGTTCAGATAAGGAAGTCCCTGGGTGTTGCAAATGGTTAAGCTCTCAACTACCGGGCAAAAGATGGTGGCTCGAATCTGCCCAGAGGCACCTCGGCAGGCAGACCCGGTGATCTGGTTCCTAAAGTCTGCAGCCTTGAAAACCCCATGAAGCACAGTTCTACTCGGACACACACGGGGTCACCATGAGTCAGATCTACCCACAGCAACCAACAAGACGTTCAAATAATAAGAAGAAAACGGCACGCTAGAATTAGCACCGAAGGTTCACCGTGGTGTCATGGGTGAACAGAAGAGTCTGCTTTACTCAAGGCACCCTGGGAGTGTGTGTGCATTTGACTTTTCTCTAGAAGTCCCTTGTGAAATGTGAGACTATCTGCCTAGGGCCATAAAATCTCTCTATATCATACTTGGACTTATTGCCGCCCACTTACTTTTTCCCTAGCCCCCAAATTCCATTTGGCAGGAAAGACTCTGAAAATCAGTGCCACTTTGGAGCAGATCCCATCTGTCTGTTCAAAGGACCCTCCTCAATGACTGTTTCCTTCAGTTATAAAACAGCACGAGGCGGAGTAAACTGGATACGCAGGCGGGCAGTAACAATCGCACCGACATATTTTCCCCCTGGCTGCCAATTCTTGGAAGTCTGAGCAGCCACCATTTTTTTCTGAAGCTCAGCCACCTTGCTGGTTCTCTGACGGGGCAGGAGACGCTGGGAGCGGGGCAAAAGCCGTCCTTTCTTGTGCATGACAGAAAAACAGAAGCAGAAGGTGTATTAATGGGTCCCCTGCCTAAGGTTCTTTCTCCCGGTAGGTTGGCATTTCAACTGTCCAAAGAGGCTGTGGCTTCTATTTTCAAAGAAAGAGATTCTACAGTCTCCGGAGTGGGACTTTCTGGAGGTCTCACCCTCAAAGTCAACTGCCTTACAGCTGACAACTGCCCCCACCCCACCCCTGGCCCTCACTATGATTTAAACTGGCTTCCTCTTGATGGTCCCTGGGTGGTGCAACAGGTCAGCGCACTTGGCTGCTAACAAAAAGCTGGAAGTTCAAGTCCACCCAGAGGTGCTTTGGAAGAAACGCCTGGCAGCCTACTTCTGAAAAGTCGGCCACTGAAAACCCTATGGAGCACAGTTCTGCTTTGACACATATGGGGTTGCCATGAGTCAGAACGGACTCAGAAGCAACTGGTTTGGGTTTTTTTCTCCTCTTGTTGGGTCCTCCTTGAGGAATAAAGGCACCTGCTTGGTAGCTGATGCCCACTTAATGCAGGTCACTATGAGCTGTCAGCCGCCATCCCTACTTTAGAAACCACGA